GGGGGGGGGGGGGGGGGTGTGTGTTTTGTGGCAGTATAAGCTTGAATGAAGCTACCAAGTCTTGAAAGACAGCAATTTATTTAATAAAACACAGTCCATCTGCCTCTGGGCTTGAGAGACCAAACGCTGGCAGACTGACACCCTAAGCGCCACTGTTAGACATACAAACGCATGGTCAAGTGTTCCTTCCGATCTGTTTAATACATATAATGTTGAGGAACTACATCAGGGCAACTGCTGTTGTTAAATCTGTCAAGGGTGCGTGAGTGTTTCTGAAGGGAATAGGGTGATCTGAGATTGAATGTCTGATACGATGAAGAAGAAGTTCACCATCCTAGATTCTCGTCCTTTGCCTAAGGACAAAAACGAAAAAGAAGTCACATACCTCGATTTGCTCCAGAGTGTCTTGCAGTTTGGAATTCAATTCACTGAGGAAGAAAAAAAAAAAGAGAGACAAGGGAGGCGAACAGTGAATAGGAATACAAAACAACAGAAATGTTGGTTCATTGTGAAGCACGAATAACCATTGTATTCTGTTTGCAGAGTAACACAAACCACCAAAAACATTATACCAACATGTTGGGAGGAAAAACAGCTAGCTTTCCAGAAATGGGCCGTCGGAGCGAGAGAGCACTAAACAACACAAAACCAGCCTCACAGACGGTGACATTTCTGTGGAAAAAAACAGGCACTGACATTTGAAAAACAGGGGTGTATTTTTACCGAGCGTGGCTTCTTGCTTATCTTGTGCAGCTGGAACAAGACTGATGTGTGTTGTTAGTGTCGAGAGGGGCGTGCTAAACTAGTCAGTGGGTTTTCTGAATGAGGGAGGAAAAAAAATGACTAGTCTGTTTTACGAAAGCCAAGAATAATAAGGCTGTTTTAGGGTCACGTCAATCACACACCAATCAGATGTCTTTCTTGGGGAACTCAACAGTAAAGCTGCCTTTCCACTATCTCCAACATTCATGTACGTTTGTCACATTTCGGCCCTAATTGTAGTCGCACAGTGGAACTTTCAAACTGGTCATGAAGCAGCCGTTACCCTGTTTAATCACCATGATAAATTGAATGAATAATGAATGTATAAATATATCCACACAAAACAAATGACCGCCAATATGTTTGAAAGAAATGCATGTAGGTTTTTTTAGAGCTAATTAATGCAAATAAATGGTAATAAAATGATTCTTTTGAACATAATTATTCATAAGTGCATATTTTACAGAAAGAGTGTTTAAGGATTAACGGTTTAGTGTAATATTGGTAATTCTCACATCACATTCAGTTTTCATTTGAATACATTACATCCGGTCTGACTGTCGTGTATGGTCTGTGTCGATAAACAACACATATGGTCAGAACTCCATGTAGCTCCTGTTATTTTCTGCATTGGAAATTAATACTTTTAATCTGTCATTTGTCAGAGATACTGAAAGGTGGCTTAAGGAATTTTTCTGTTTGCTCATTTGAGACAGTATTTTAGATTTGTGCTTGTCCTACCAACAATTTCACTAAATAAATAAATAAATAATAAACATTTATATTTGCTAAAGTTCTTGTTTCAAAAAATAAATAATAATAATTTATATATACACCTATATATATATATATACATATACACATACATATATACATATATACACATACATATATACATATACATACATATACATACATATATATACATACATATACATACATATATATACATACATATACATACATATATATACATACATATACATACATATATATACATACATATACATACATATATATACATACATATACATACATATATATACATACATATACATA